ATTTATTTATTTATTTATTGAGATAGGGTCTTTCTATGCAGTTCAGGCTAGCCTTGAGCTCACTTTTTTAAGCCCAGGCTGCTCTTCAACTTGTGACAATCCTCCTGTCTCAGCCTCCCGAGTGCTGGGATTATAAGTGTGAGCTACCACACCAGGCTACATGTGTTTGAAGTTGAGATCTGCTGCCCATCCAAGGTGCAGGCTTTCCTAGAGGTGAAGGAAGCACAAATTTGTAAGGAAAAAGAACAGGTCCTGAGCCTAGATTTACAGGCTTATTGTCTATAAGATGTTTAGGTTTTTTGGTGTTTTTTGTTTGTTTTGTTTTTTTTTTTTTTTTTTTTGTCTTTTTGAGATAGGGTCTCATTATGTAGTTCAGGCTAGCCGTGAGCTCACTTTGTTGCCCAGGCTGGTCTCAAACTCGCAAAGATCCTCCTGCCTCAGCCTCCTGAGTGCTGGGATTACAGGTCTGCGTCACCATGCCCTGCTTGCTTTATTACTTTTAGTGGCATAAATGTATTCTGTAGAGTTTTGGTGCCATCATTAATTAAAATTTTTCCATTATTGGAACTCTTAAAAGCTGTTGTCAAATTTTATTATAATTCTGTAAGGAATATTGCCTTTATGTGATTTTTTTGATACTATAGAATTAATTTCTTCAGAATGGATTCCTGTGAACAGGGTTTGTGTCTCACTCAGATCTTTGTTGTGTATGAACAGGTTTATTCCACTTGAGCACTTTCTATAAGTTGAGGTAACTGTATGAAAATAATGAGTATATAGGCTCTGAAGTCTGATAGGAATATAAGGGACTTTCCAGAGCTGTTAGTTTAGCAGCATCTGAATTGTACTTCGGTTGTGGCTCCTTAACTTTCGTTTCAGTGATTGACATAAAGCTGGAAAAGCCCCAGGAGCAACCAGTCACCGAAGGAGGCTGTTCCTGCTAATCCCCCATAGCATCTTCAGCCCTGCTCCAGAAGCTCACTGCTTTGGCCCCTGTACTCTTTCATTGACTGCAGTGTGAATATTGGCTTGAACCTTTTTCCCTTCAGTAATAACATATTGCAATTCATCATTGCTGCCTGTCTCGTGGAGATGATCTATTAGCTTCACAAGCACAAAAATGTCAGTGTCTTCATTATTTATATTTTACAAAAAACCAAAAGATTCCAGTGATAACTGAAGATTAGATACATTTTCTTAACATTTTTCCTTTTTTAATGTTATGATAAGGTACTTCAAAATGATGGAAATGTGAACAGTATGTGCGGCTTGGTTAAGGAGCAGTACGTTCACAGCATTTGCCTCCCTATTTGATCTCGTACTGCTTCTCTCACTTCTCCTTTACCCCATTTCCTATTCCTGCCCTACCAAACGAGGTAGCAAATAGCAGTTTGACCAAGCCCATTGGAATTATCCTTCAGTTTTACATATACCACTTGCTGTAGCAGTAGGCCAAAATATCCAAAATTATTCTTGAACATGGATATAAATTACTTAGACCTTCTTGAGTTAAAACTTAGCTATCATGGTGGGCAGTGCTTGAATGAGGAAGGGGTTCTCCTATATCTTCAAAATGAGTCCTAATGAACATACTTAGTATTCACAGTAGAATATAAAGTGTATTTCTGACCAAAACAAATGACCCTTTCACATGTGCTTTATTAAATGCTGGGAGAGAAGTAACCAGTTAATTCTTCATGGTAAAATCATAAAAGTTCTAATGAACTATTTTTTCCCAAGATTTTAAGATTGTGCAGACTTTTTTTTTAAGATCTTAATAGGTTTTTTTTTTTTTTTTTTTTTTTTGTAT